GTCGGGTATTCCCCCATCTGCTATTATCTTACAGTAGAGAAAAATTCTAGCTGCCGCACGGATTCAAAGGCTGGACGCGTGGCATCCTTTAGCATTCAGGTCTACAGAGGAGCCAAAAGATACAGTAAGCCGCCTAGGTCTCCGCATAGGTCAGAGGAACCGGCCATTCAAGTGCCCAGAAAGGTACCTCACGCGACTTCAGATCAGCGCCAAAAATATGCCGATGGCCGAGGGCCCCGGCAAACTGTATTTCCCAAAAGCTGAGCCCATCAGACAGCTCACTGGCGGTGACAAGCAGCAAGAAGCAGCTCACGCTAAGCAATGGATAGCAAGCCTGTTGGATGAGATAGTTTGCGCTTACTCAGACGGCTCATCATGTGGACCAGCTAGATCGGCGTGGGGATACATCTTATACAAAGGAGGCCAGATGATTGGGAGTGATGCCGGTCCTCTGCTAGGGGCGGAGGTGTACGATGCCGAAATCTTTGGCGCCCAAAAAGCCCTCGAAGGAGCGATAGGAAAAGCGGGCAGCTCTCCGATAAAAGTGCTCCTCGATAACTCCATAGCCGCAAGAGCTCTTCAAACCGGTCGAACGAAATCTTCTCAGGCGGTGGAAGACACATTCACAAGACTGGTACGACGAGCCAGATCAGTTGAAATCAGGTGGATACCAGCCCACTCAGGGATCACTGGGAACGAGGAGGCAGACAGACTGGCGAAGGAAGCCCTCAGGAAACTCCCGGCTGAAACGACTACAGCTCCCTCAACAATTAAGGACGGACTTAAATACAACTTCGCAGCCCTCAACCGGTTTGTTAGGCAAAGGTGTGAAGAAGCGGTGGAATCCTGGTGGCTAAAACATAGACCTAGCCGCTATGAGGAGTTGGATCTCCGAATGAAACGAAAACGTCCACCAGAGCTAGCACTTCCGAGGTAGGCGCATCACCACTTGGTCGCAGCGAGGACGGGACATGGTGATTCTAGGAACTACCATGAAAGGTTTGGCCACGTATGGGAAAACTGCAAATGCGTTTGCGGAAGAGAGAAACGTCCCTGGCATTTTGCCGAATGTCGGATTGCTCTACGGCACTGGAGAGAAGAGAAGCATGAACCACCACCGAGTGGACGGGAGATGCTGGCAGAAAAGGGAGGGGGTAAATTTCTCCAGTTCTTAACAGCAACTAAGTGTTACGAGATGCAGAGCGCAAACCGGGAGGATTAAGTCCTGCCGGAGGAAATTTTCCACAGGACTAAGGGCCACGAGGAAGGAGAAAAGGCGCAGGGCGTTTTTTTTCGAAATTTAACTAATTATCTTTGTTTTCTACAAATAGTTTCTGAGAAGCAAACTATGTACCTAGTTTGTTGTGTGGCCCCAGGGAGCACAGACCCGTATCACGCCTATTAGGTGTAGGGCATAAGCCTGATACGTAATATATTCAATTCAATTCGCAGTGGTACTTGCAAATGAAATCCGAGGCATAAGTGCTCTTCTCTTTTATTAAGCCATCTATTACGAACTTTTCTTTGATATTGTGTCATAGCTTGATAGATGCACACCCAATTAAATCTAAAACAATTCTCGGAGCATTTGATAGGCTCCAGCCGTTGGCAATGATAAAAGTACTCCAGAAACTTCAGCTACCAGTAAATTTCTGTTGGTAAAACACGAAGTAATACAAATTGGGTGCCGTCACGAAGTCAGCTGTCCGTCACGAAGTCGGTGAATAATGTCAATTAACCGGTATCTCGGAATACATAAAACGTTGTCTCTTCTTCCTCCCTTCTCCCTCTGCCCTTTCTTCCTCTACTCCAAGCGCCTCGCTAATGAGCTAAATCAGACCCCTGCCAGAGTCCTAACGACATCCTTAACACCGCAATTACATAGAAAAATTCATAATGCCCAAGTATTATCCTTTTACCGAAAATTTCATTTCATTGGTCAACTCTTTCTTGACAGGAAGAACAATGCAGCTATGCTTCAATGGACAGATGAGCAGTGTGTTTCAAGTCACTGGCACACCCCAGGGTAGCCCTATCTCACACTTGCTCTTCTTGCTCTCTATTAGATATCTGTACTCATTGAAAACACCACCAAACTTTCTCCAGCTATCCTACATTGAAGACCTTTCCATATCAGTGAACAAAAATATTCGCCTATTAAAAGAAGCTACAGATAATATAATTGAACTAGCAAACAAGCTATCAGTCACCTTTGAAATGGACAAAACTGAGCTCATCCACTTCTCCCAATATAGAAAGCCACTCACATCAACACTTATACTACAAAATGGTGTAACTTTATAGCCAAGTGAGATGGTGCGATGGTTGGGTTTCTGGTTTCACAGAAAGCTATCCTTCAAAGCTCATGTAGACAAAAGGCTCCAGCTAGCCAATGGAGCCCCAAGTAGAGTGAAGCAACTTGTCTCATCTACAAAAGGGCTTCGATTTCAAGCCCTAGGCCACTTGTACATAGCTTGTGTAACATCTGTGTTAGACTATGGGTCTGTACTTTGGCAGGGGAGAAGAGGTTCAGGAACACAAACTAATAAGTGTCAGAGGCTTCAGAACCAAGCCGTCATACTAATAAGAGGTGCCTACCAACGCAGCCCAATCAAGGCCCTCGAAGTGCAAGCAGCCATCCTGCCAACAAAAGTCAGACTGATAAAGCATGCATTCAGCTATGCCCTCCGCCTACTACGACTCCAGAATACACACCCTGTATAGCAGCTACTGTTTCAGCCATTGAATGATGAGTTGAATACTCTTCCAGAACTTGACCTTGGAATATTTAACCAGTTGGATAAGCCAAAAAATCAGTTTACAAGATTTGGGATGTTTCTCACAGTGTGACGGCTTGTAAGCCGGTAATTGCCTGTAGCCTGCGCTGTCTAACGCAGGCTTAGCATGAAACTAGGCAGGGACTATTCTTGGAAGCAGGGTCTTACAACTTGGCAAACACCTCCAAGAATAGGGCACGAGAAGGGATACGAGAAGGTATACGGATATACGGATAGAAAACTGTGTCATTGGCCTGGATAATAATCATGTATAAAGTAACAGTTATTCTCCTCTTCAATCTGTAGTTCACCATAGATTGAAAATAAACTACCTCTGACCATAAGGTTGCTCAAGTGCCTATGCTTAGACTGTGACACACAGTATTTGCTAAGTTTCAGAAGTTGGAGGAGATGAATTCAGCTTGGATGGCACCATGGAACTCAGCACCTCTAGCAATTAACATAACATCTTTAACCAGGGTTTCAGCTCATGAACAACATTCAAAATTAATGCAGACAATAGAGCCAGACATAGCAATTGCTTACACAGATGGATTTCTTTCCAAGAGTAATGTGAGCAGCATTGGTTTTTTCATCTATATGCCTTTCACCCGAGAGTTGAAAAGCTTCTCCTTCAATCTGGGAAGCCCCATTGGAATCACTGATACTAAAACCTACAGCATTTACAAAGCCATCCAGTACCTAAAGAAAAAGCTGCCATATGCAAGATACTAAATTTTCAGTGACAGCCAAGCAAGCCTTCAGAGAATACAGGGGAAGACAAACCACCTCTCACACCAAATTCGAAACCTAGCCAAAGACTGCAATCTAACCATTTCTTGGTGTCCAACCCATGTGGATATTGAGGGTAATGAACTTGCTGACTCAGTTGCAAAAGGAGCAGTAAAAAAGACAGCTTTAAGAAAAGACAAATTTACATCCCATTCCTTCCTCAAGCAGAAAGCAACTGAATACATTTTGATATAATTTATGCGACAGTGGAGTTAAGAGTATACTGCATGCCAGCTATATATTCAGCTGCGTGTGGATACTTGCCATCGAAATCAGATTCCTTAAAATATAAATATATATAATTTATTGTGTGTATTATAACTAAAACTATTGGTGCTTATTTCTTGTTCTTACAATTATCTACACACTTCACAATTACGGAAAGTGTGAAATACTAAGCGAGAAACGTGATTCAATTACAGATTTCTCGCATGGCTTTCAACATATTTTAAATGCTTGGCATAATGACTGGCAAACTGAAGTTCTCCGAGAAGAGGAGGGTAGAAGGTCTAATGGACTTGGAAAGTTCTACAGAATCCAAGCCCAGGTGCACATACCAACCATTTCACTTTCAAAACCACAGCATGATGTCAGGGCTCGCGGAGGGTGGACTGGGACGAGGACAGAGAGTAGGACGAGGACGAAGATGAGGTCAAGAGAGTAAGTAAATTACAAGTCAAGAAGCTACAGTTCGAACCCAGTCTCAGAGCTCCCTTAAGTACATGAGGGCAGTCACCATAACCAGTGATGCCATAGCCTACATCCGTATCATAGCAACTAACTGGTATCTTGGGTGGTAGCTGTTGCTATCGCAACACTGTAATCATCGCAACGCATTAACTGTGATTTGAGTACACTCATGACACGGTTTGCCAGGTGCTACACAACATTACAGGGTCAGTCCGTGACACAGGATGGTCGAATCAGCATTTTTCCAGGCGAGAACTGGGATAGGAAATACAAGAGCTTACCTTAGTATAATTGGGAAATGTAAACATTAAAGCTGCAATTTATGCAAGGCTAAAAAGCAGACCACAAAACATTTAATTCTTCATTGTACCAGATTTTGCAAGCAGAGGGAATTGGCATTTGTAGACATAAAGCCCTTTTCATTAAAAATTTTATTACGAGCCAAAAGGGGGAAGGAAGCCCTTCTAGAATTTTGGAAAACATCCAAGTGTATGTTAGTAAACAAAAGAGATGAAATAGGTACATAAGTAATGGACATGAAGATGAATTGAGAGGTGGTTGAGGCCTTAGCTGGTGTCATTCTGCAATGTAAAACTAATTGGATATTTAATTGTCATAGCTAGATAGCTGAATACAATATGATACAAAAAAAATTTAAAATTAAAATCTGATGCTCGTGTACCTCTGATATATATTCTGAGATTTAATGAGCTACAGTAAATCATATGAAGTTACTCCTAATTACTGTTCCATCAGGCTGCACTTCTGTTCATTTCCAATTCCACCTTCCTCCTCAAGTACTTGAAATGTTCTGTCTTGTATGTTGATATAAGCTCTAATTCCATAGTAAACTTGACACCAAATTTTAGTAGCTACATGTTACCATAGGGACAGGTTTGACCTACCGTCACCAATCGAGTGGTTCAGAAGTCTAACACTGATAAGATTCCCAGCCATCACATAAGTATTTTGGCCATTATCCAGTAAAGCTAGTCTGTTTTTGACGGCGGCGTTAACGGTTTCTTCAGGAATCTGTACACTAGTTGGGCATATATAAACCTTTCCAGCAAAGACTGTAGAAAAGAGACCGAGCATAGAAGCAAAAATCACGGAGTATCCAAACTTCATGTTGACACTGAATTGTTGGGGAGTTTACACTTGTCGCGGTGTATATAATGGGTACGGTTTTTGCGATTGAGCTCCTAGAGACGTCAAGAGCTAGAATTAAAACTTGATCCAAGTTAGATCGAGGCTGATTATTGGATGCTTTCTCTTTCAAAAGATCGAAGTGTGAAGAGAAGATGTCACTGAAGGCATCAGTCCATCAAGTACTTATAGTTTTCTAAATATTAATTTGAAAATGTAAAACTTAGAGGGGCTTCGTGTAAATGTCACGTGAATCGTCAAGAATGTAAGAGTAAAGGTATAGAATTATCTACTACTACGAGTCAAGCCTAGGACTATATCGTGTGAGTATCCCCTTGTGCGCGTAGATCTTACTTTCGCTTTTGGACCGGCGCGAAAACCCAGACTAACATAGGTCTCCTTACAGAAAACAATTAAAAGTCTATATTTGGTATGCGTTAATTAAATGAACTTTATTTGCTACAAGCTATGGTTACCGAAGGAATTTAAATGAGCGTTAGCAATCTACTACGTCAAAAGCTTGTTGACTGAGCCAATTCTCTTAGGAGAGAGAGAGTGAGAGAATGGCATGTTTATCGTCCTATTTGAGTCTTAGAATATCTACCACATTGGGCTCCTTTCTGACCCAGGCCACTACTCTTAGGTAATGTGATGTCCTGGGTCTGATTCAAATCAATTGACTCGACGATCTTCCGCATTTTAAGGGCGTAAGGTATAGGAAGGACCTTTGGCAAGATGATCAACGTAATCCGGACTTCCCGGGTTCGATATGTCAGATGAATAATAATTATTCATCCTGGGTAGTCCCAAGACTCGCTCGGTCAAGTGCGACATGGAATGAGTGCCAAGCCATTTGTCTTTCCTCTGTGGATTCAGCCTATTTCCATGACATGGCACATCTCAGACGCCGCCAAATGACACGTAAATCCCAATTATTTGACCCATTCACCACACAAGATAGCCGGCAAAGACGGGTTCTTTATCTCCCAGTAGTGCCATTGTCATCGCTCAGTACGCTTTGCATATGTGGGACAGCCAAGAAGAAACGCATCCGGATGCAATTTCGAATCCGGCATAAACATGCCCATAATCGACGATATCCCATCAATATCGACCTTGTCACCCCCACGATAGTCCACTACCCCCATATCAATACTCACCACCTCACCTCAGTGGCTGATATCGGTGCCACTACAACAACAAATTTCCGATTGCCTCAGTAATTGCCGGCAATCACCCGCCAACAAATTATGATGGTACGCATTTCCGCAAGGAGGTAACTAAGTCGAAATTTTCAAAGCCTGGGACCTGGTCTATGGCGGACTGTTGCTCTAATTGGACAAACAAACTGAGGAGTGATTGGTGACTGGGGCATGGAATGAGATGAAGAAGAAGCCCCTCGTGGAAATGTTGGGTCTGATTTCTTCGAGGTCTTTTCGACTTTGGAACGTTGGTGGGCGCCAGGATCGAGATTTCGGCTAATTAGCCAGGAAGAGTTCTAGTGTCGATGAGTCAACGACACTCCCCTGCGCCCTGGACGGCACAAAAGAAGCCAAGCTACCATACAGCAATCTCGCTCTGTCAAGGCTTTTCCAATATTTAAACAAGACCTTCAAGGAAGAGCCGAAAAGAGGCTAGAAAGGCAGACTTGAATGCTCTGAGGTATATGCAAGTCTCAAGAGCCCAGCTAGCAGGCCTCTTCGGATGCACCAGAATGGGTACGAAGTCTTCTGAATTTGTCCCAATTTCAGAGTTAGAAGGGTTCCGCACCCAATAACAATTGAAAATTTTTACCGGCCACAATACACCCGCACATGGCCATCGTTTCGTTGGCTGGAGGGGGGAGATAATGAAGGACAAAGGACTTCTCAAAGTGTATGATCGAATGAGGACATGTGAGGGGTGGTACTGTTCGAGGGGAGCTGTATGGGAGGCATAGGAGGGGGTATACTGCTGGCATAGGTATCCTCGGCCAGGAGGCAGAGGGGACCTGCATGTCCCACATACTTATAGTCTCAGACAGGACAATGAAATGTGTAAAACTTACAGATGGCCTCGTGTAAATGTCATGTGAATCGTCAAAAAGTTAGAGCGAATATAAGAATGAATGATTTCTTTATCTGTTCATGTCCTATTTGGGATTACAACTGTGCAAGGCAGACTATTCAAATACAATTTTTCTTTTTCATTGTAAATGAGGGTTTCCTTCATTTGATGGTGTGATCCCCACTACGGTTTCACCATGGGAAATAAACGATTTATCGTCACTTGCTACGACGAATTCGTAGGAAGGGCTAGGCTGAACACCTGTATGTTGTGCCCTCGACGAAGCTGGGAGTGAAATATTCTCGCAGAGCCAAGTTCAGTCAAATTTCGCAATATCAAAGAAGTTGGCCCACGAGGCAAAATTTCAAATTATTCCACCATGTCAATCTTTCACTCCCAAAGAGTCCGATTCTCAATTAAGCTTCATCAAGTCTACAAGTACGACCTAGTACATCCTCGTCCCAATGACCACACCTCTCGTCGACTTTCTCTGGCCTCAGCCGGTCACCAAATGCACGCCCACGCCGATATTTATACCCGACGAAGGAAGCAAAGCGTGGTGCACAAATCTGGGAGACAGTTCTTTGGGATGGACGTGAGAGGGATCAGGACAAGTTTACAAGATGATGCAAAAGAGGAATACGTATTCGACGGGCGTGAAATATCGGATTTTGGCAAGAGTTTTACGAATCGAGCTTTGTGCGCGCCAAGACTTCGCTTGCGAGAGTGTAGCTAGCTCTATAAACACAAGAAAACGATGGAAGGTGTTGTGGTCCGCCGCCTTGAGGATCCAAGATTCACAGACCTCTAGATTACTACGAGGCTCTCATAAATTTTAATGCTTTTGTAATGTTGTTCACGTTGGAGTCCGGGCGCAAGATAAGGAATACTGTATTTATATAGACGATACCCTGTATTAATAGAAAACCAAGTTACATCTAGTCTTAAGCTCCACTGTACGTATTAGTAGATTGGAGCCACGAGACACCCGTAACCTACGCCATCTTAAAGCTAAGCTTATCTCACTTTTCATACATACTAATCCATCAGGAACCTCATCCTGGTGATGTTCTCCGGTATAGTCCGAGTAGCCTGGGCACCTACTCCACTTGGGAAGGAGACATCTCAGGTTATATTTCGCGCGGAGAAAAGTTGATGGATGACGGAGGCATGTCTGGATAACTCAGGGTTTTTGAGACGTTCCCCTGGGTGGGTATTCACGGATGAGGGTTGACTTGGGGTGAAGAAAAAGCCACCATAACTTCGCAGTGGTACTTGCAAATAAAATCTGAGGCATGAGTGCTCCTCTTGTAAATTGAGTCATCTTTTCTGTACTTTTCTTTGTTTTTTGTCATAGCTAGATAGCTGCATACGCAATTAAAATCTGATGTAAAACAAATTTAAAAAAGAAAAAAAAAGACTAATCTAACATCGCCCCGCATGATGAAAATCTTATTTTGTAGTGGAGACCCATTGAAATACTGCAACGATTGTTCACGATTTTATGTTAATTTTAAAACGTCCACGTAAATTAGTGGCCCCACTAGCTATGGTCTTGTGACTTTGAATCCGTCGACAGGATTCCTGACTGCTCGAATGACAAACCATGAGCTATGATGCGCCCTACTCTATCTCGCCCTGAATCGCGCCAAATATCAGCTCTTCTCAGCAAACTCTGTTTTTCTAATTTGAAGTTGTACCACATTAAAATTACACTTGATGCCCGTCAAATTCCCTCTAAGAAATTTCGAGGCTTAATTAGTTTTGGATTTTAGCTCGGAAAGGTCCTCTTCAGATTCATCATCGGATAGGTCCTTCTCTTCAAATTCGTCATCGGAAAGATCCTTCTCTTCAGATTCATCATCGGAAAGTTCTGCCTCGAAGGATTCATCATAAGAAAGTTCGTCTTCTTCGTTCACTTCGATAATGTCGCAGTAGCTTTTTTTGCCGGTCTCAATCTCAGTCTCATATAACCAGGTTATGTTTTTTGGTGTATAAATTTGACCTGTGATTAAATATTCGGCTTCACGTTAGGTGTTAGTAGATGTATAATTGTATTGAGGGGTGAGTTAACAGACTGTTATTAATCTTCGTTTTCTCGAGATCGAACATGACGTGTATTGAAGTTTCGGTCTTCCATATTGTGTCGTGCTTTTTCTTGGGGTTCCGGTCGACCTTATCGGTTACGACTAATAACTTTTCTTCGGTAATTTCGTAACCGCCCGGGCACACGTATTTGCATTTTGATAAGGCCAAGGTAAATAGGCTCATCAGGGAAGCAGAATATAGGAACTTCATGATGACGATGACTGGAAGTAGAAAGGTTGTTATTAAGTGGCCGAGGTTCGTGGGATGTAGAGAGCTGTAATTAAATGCGATTCAAGTTTGAGCTAGGTTGGATATTGGGCACTTTCTTTCTCGGATTTGTAGGGTGTTATAAGATATAATGAGCTGAAAGGCATCAGCCCATTAAAAACTAATATTTTCATCGTCATCATTAAACTTGAGGGCAATCAAAATATCTATTTTTGGTACGCATGAATTGAATAATCCTAAAGCGCTTTGAAGCGTGATTACTGAAGAGGCATTCAAATGAATGATAACTGTCTCCTAGGTCCAAAGCTTATTAGCTGAGCCAATTCCCTTAGGTAATGTGCATATCTTGGGCCTGGTCCAAATAAATTAGCTCGACTACCTTCTGCATTGCAAAGATTTGAGGTTTTCGAAGGATCTCGGGAGATCTGGGAAGATTATCAACGAAATTTGGATTTCCAGGTCTCCACATGTCGGTTGAATAATGTTCATTCGTCCCTGGTAGTCCCTAGTCTCGTATAGTCGGGAGAGCAAGTCAAGAGCGAGAAGAGATAAGTGCCAAGCCTTCTTTCTCTTCGCCAACTGTACCAGTTTTGCTCAACCGCTGCAAGTCTCCACAGTCAAAGATGCCGAGTTAATCCCGAATATTTGACTCATCTGCCGATGCAGCCATTTGGTAGTAGGCGATGCTAAATGACAGACTTGCATGTTTGGGGTTCCTACATGGCCATTAGAAATCAGCAAGGCAAAGCTATTTTTTCGACCTTTGTACCTATGAAAGTATCCATTTCTCAACTAAGGAGAATGGTACAGATCTACCTAGCAGGCTACGAGCCCATCGTACTCTGGCTTCAACAGTCTCACCTAGATGGTTTAGCGTATTGCCCAGTCCTGAATTATCAATGTGCCATCAACGCAGGAAGTAATGTAGAATAGAATTAAATTCAAGTCCCTGCCAAGTCTATGACTATGAAGGACTGAGCGTGATATTGTAAGGCGCAGCACAGCGCTTACAGCCAAGGATTTCTAGAGGTCATACTGAAAGACACATGATCATGCCTAACCTGAAGGGCTGTCGGGCACGTCTACTCCCGACTGTTCACAATCGCTCCGAAACTGAAAATCTTGGTCACGAGGAGCCGTGCTGAGAAGTTATCGGCTCTATGAAAACTAATTACATCGCTAAACCACTCATCTCTCCGATGAATAGTACATGAATCTATGCTGACTTTGTGACCAAAGATTCCAGCCCTTATCACTCGTTGGAACATGTGGTTCGAGCCAATGAAAGCACTATTCCAAGCAATGAAGCTGCAACTCAGGTCTGCATTGAAGTCTGGTGGATTTTCCGAATAACGATATCCATTACGATCCTAAATTTGCCTTCGAGTACTATGCACTGCCGGAATTAGATCTACGACCATCCAGCCGCCGGACACGAGCTCACACTCGTTCTAGAGTAGTCAATTAGGTTCCCCTTGGCATTTCCACAAATAGCATATAACTACTCCACTGATAGATCTCTTTGCTCGATTAGAAGTCTTGGAGGGATGAGGGAATGAAACTGGCTGGATTATTTATATCTATCAGAGAAACGTTTAGATGTGCCAAAGTTTCGATACACATACTCACGAGAAACCTACGATTGTGTAATTTGTGGATTGACTATAGGTCAGAATGGTGTTAGCATAGGACTAAACCTGCCTTGATAAGTTGATTGTCGTAGAAAAATGGGAGATTATACAGAGGAAATCGGTTGAGCCCACATTCATTACTTTCCAGTGGACGAGGATGGAGAGGAAGCACGCGGCCTATTGAGTGATAGGCTATCTAGATGGAGAATGTTTCACTGAGTGTGAGTTTATTGTACTTCTTAAGTCCATGACTGTCTAGTATATTGGGCTCCTCTCCGACCCAGGCCACATCTGGTACAATGCTCCTAACCTCTTGTTACTTCAAAGATCATTGATATATTTCCCATGATGAACACTCGTTCAGCTCAGTGTTTACTTGAAGAAATCAGCTTCCATTTCTACGGAGTCTTCAACCGAAAAGAATGAAAACTCTCAAAAATCTGCGAGCCCAGCCAGGTAAGGCCTAGACACTGAAGCCACACGAAGTAGTCATGTCCATCGATATCTCCCTTTTTATCACATTAGAGGCCAACTTGATCCGATCCACCATCTCCGTATCGGGTCCTGGGTAAGCTCCGAAAACTCACCGGACGGCTTCTCCCCCACGATCAAGAGTTGGTGATCAGTAGGGCTCTAACCCTACCATCTGTTCTGATCGTGGTTAGCTTCATGATAATGGTGATAGGGGAATGTGTTGAGAGATGAAGACGTTACAGATCGCGAAAGCGATTTGGAAACCTCGTTGAAGTGAGGACTTTGTTCCTCAATCTCGGCTCTGTAGACTCTATTGTGAGATCCGGAGGTTCTTACGAAGAATCACTGACAGGGGTTGAGAATAATCCCCCTCCAGCTTATGTTGATTTAACGACTGTGGAAAATGAACCTCCTCATAGTGCAGCGGCTAGTGAATGAAGCAAGACTAGGATAACTGAGTGCTTCTAGGGATATCTTGACTCATATCCTCCCAGTAATTATACCTCACCCTCAGATGCCTTTTGGTAAGTCCAAGATTGGAAAGAAGGTAACGAGGTTTGTTCTGTTTGTGAGACTGTTTATGGTATAAGAACGTGATAGGTGTTAGCAGTAAAGTCTAAGACCGTTTCAGCTGGTTTCCAGGTATAGTTCAATCTGATTTGATTTCTCAGTCAAGAAACTTGTGGATCTTAGCATCTAAGCCCGAGAATCAACGCGGCCCCTTCCGATTGATAAATTATGGGAAGCTTTCTAAATCCGCAGACGGGAGTCATCTGATACTGAGCTGTCGATGGTGCTCTCATCACATAGAAAGATGGTTCATGCCGAAAGTAGCAGAATTGCCACTCACAATGGATCTTTTACACGATTTACTGCGTGTTTAGCCAGCTAGCTTTGACATATTATGAGTGCTGTTATTGCGTTTCGGATGACTCTTTTTACGTCAGAGACACTCATGCTACGGGTTTTATGGCTTAATCCCACTTTTAGGTGTTTTTGCATTGGCAGAACTGCCGGTGCTTCTCGTTGAAAACACCTACCAAGAGGAATTACATGACCTTGAGTTGTTCAAGCGTGCCTTGGTCACCTACTTACATCAACAGCCCGAGAAGTTTGGTCGAACTATCCTGGATAGGCCTCGTGGCTTTTCATGCTCAATCTGGAGCTGTTACCACTAAACTATGCAGCCAAGGCTGTGTAATATTGTCGCCTGCACTCTTACAAACAATGTCGTGTACCGCACAATGGTCGATTTGAAATAGCTCCTTTTGAAAGACAAAACCTAGCCCCTTCCAAGATTGTGTCTATCCCTTGCAGCATCTTGCATTGCAGTCCCAAAATCGCTTAGATCGGAGCCCAAGGTATGACTCCCAGGTTTGTGTGCCACATCATGTCTCCTGCCTCGGCTAATATAATCGGCGTGGGCGTGCAATTGGTAGCCAGCAAAGGCCGGAGATTGAGTTGACGAATGGTGTAGCCATTAACAGGAGGATTCACTAGGTCATGCGTTGAGATCTCACGAGGATTTGGTGGGAAATTATGTCGTTGAGAGAGGGAGATTGGGTAAAGAGTCTTAAGTCGTGGCCAGGTAGGCTAACTTATTTGGTATCGCGAAATTTGACCAATCTTGGCTCGAGGATAATATTCCGCCCCCAACTTCGCAGAGAAATTTGTAGTCAGGTGGACAGTGTAAGCCACCCTTTACTATTGTATGTACATGTTTTATTCATAATGAGATGAGTGAATCATCGCCCCTGCACCTAACCAGTCACGATAAAAATGAAGAATAATCTGCCGAATCTTTTAAGGTGATAATGTAAACATCGAGATCTGTGTTTGTACCGTGGTTATACTGGCAGTTATGATATTCTTGGCTTGGCGCAGGAGCGCCCTCTCCGACCAAGCAAATCTGCCCCCAAGCCACGACACCTGGGTATTTGGGTAAGCCAAAGTGCCTTGAATATCTTCATCCAATTTAGAGAAGTCTACTTTGCTTTGTCTGCCCGCGCTACGCAGAATCTACGCGAGTTACTATGACGGGAGGCATGACACGGCGAGGGCCATCCCCTTCCCCGAGATTAAAGGGGTGAGTGAATCAATTACCGTCATATCCCCAAAAGAATCCTGATCTAGAAGCCTCCGGCCGCTATATGATGTGTTGGGGATATGTAATCCAAGCTGGAAATCGCCATACTTTGTGCTAAAACAATCATCATAGTAACCTCTCTTCTGCATATCAATGTATACATCTCTCCATGAAGTATCTTAGCCGTAGTATGCGAGGTGAAACAGATGCCGTAGATATTAGTAGAAATGCTAACCAGCCAAACTTCGCGATGGCTTTCTATTGACAGGTGACATGAAGAAAGTCGGAGCCGTGAGCACATGGTGGCTTGATACCCTTTTAAACGATTGCCTTGAAGATTTACTCTGATATCTAGACTTTTCCTGCTTACTGGCCTGGAGAATCAACACTGGGAGCGGTGTAGTTACTTCACCATCTTTGCTGAGCAGTTAGGCGAGCAGCGGTTGTGCTATGGATCATTTGAGTCTTACAGACTCTTCGTAAGCATGAACGAGTGAATACAACATGAATTGTTGAAAAAAAGCAAACCGAGATTAGCTCACTCAAGTAGACGATTAGTCATTATGTAACTACATGTGATGTCGATTTGTCCTGGTAGATGATGAGATTTACGGAGTAGTAGGCATAAGAGAGTTTGCGTGATGGATTAATCGAATACCCCCTTGTCATTCACTGTGATATCACTGCAAGCCCCTTCATAGTTTTTCGGTTCCCTGAAATTGGCGAGGCTGGGAAGTGTGAGTGTATTCCAGTACAGATTGGACCACTTGGCCGGGCAAAAGTTTGTAGGCAGCGTGGCAGCCAATTAATTTCATTTATCTTCCTTCAAATTCCAAGGTCATCCAACACAGACGTCGAAGATAAGAGATAAGGATTTTTATTATAGTCCCTTTTGAGTCTAAGACTATGAAGGACTTCTAGAATCTACCATTAATACAGACGTTGAAGAGTCAAGCCTATCCGCTACGTCCCTGGCAACCTTCAGCTCTCACTTTAATGAGCATGACTGAGATTGATCCCGAAGCTAGCCGGATGGGCTTTGTTGTCAATGACTACAGAATCCTCCACTCATTAAACCGACATACGCGAGTAAGGCTAGTTTACTTATCAGCTCACACTCTGTGTCGCAATGTTTCTGCTAATTCGGCACGACCCCTGGACTGTCTCGATGCGCAGGTGTTAGAAGATCCTTATAAAAGCGGCGCATTAGAAAGTCCACTACCCGAGCCTCAGAAATGCTTGGCCAGCAGGCAGAAAAGTCCTAGACCTCCTCAAGAGGCATAGATTACGATTTGGAAATGTTAATAGCATAACTATCTGTCACGTAAAAGGCTTTTTCTCAATTGCACTCTCGTAAACATATTCCGCGTGTTGGCAAGTGGATATGGAGAGTCTTGTGTTTGACGCCGCCTTTTTGGATGAGGTCAAACACACACTTGATAGAGTAACAAAGCGTAATTCGCCCTTGCTAGATAGGGCTTATCAATGGTATAGTGTTACACATTTGCCGGCAAGCCACACACAAACGAATCCCCCAGCGCAATCAGCACTGAATAGGCACTGGGTAGTCTTCGTCAATCACTGCCATATCGTGCGTGTTGGACGGTCAACTCAGACGCATGATGAGAAGCGCTCTACACTTCAAATTAAAAATTCAACACCAGCCATCTCGTCATTTCCATGCAAGTTGGAACCTTGGCGAGCTCTCATTCGATCTTCAGCTCAGCCATGAAGCTTTTGATGCATATTAAGGCATTGAAACCCACTACTCTTCAGCTCATTCTTCCAAAATAACTACTTTCAACTATTCCTTTCGTAAACTTGATTCAAATTTCTATGGGTATTAATAAGATATCCTAGTCCACAACAGGATGGATTAGAGTGCCATTTGACTCGGTCTTGTCTAGTCAGAGTTGCTGAGACCGAAAATATCCATCAGCACAAAATCAAGACTCTCCGAACCCCAGTTTAAGAATATCGCTGCATCGATATCATCAGATGGCCAAACATGATGGAAATTGCCATCAAGTTATCTTTCGAAGACAGTTTGATCCAGCCTGCACGGCAATAAGCTCTTGATAGATCATGCAAACGATTAAGATCGAACGTCCTGCCGAATTCATCGCATCAAAACCACTTGAACCACGATAAGATCTTACTCCAGATGGATTTTTCAAGTGGTCGAGGCTCGCTGAAGCTACCACCATACACCTTACAATAGTTTTGAAAAGAATCATCATCAATTTTGAGGGACTTTGAAAAGCAGATGGACGTTCCATTTTCATCAATCTCAACATTAGTTAGTCTATCGTTTCGCTTGGCAGGTCTGGATGGAGATAGGCCACCAAGTGAGACTCACCACTTCGCAGTCTTGACATGCAGAATTACCCTGCTTATCTGGCGTGCGCTGCCGGTAAACATTACAAGCCTGTTTCGTAGCCGCATCATTCTAATAAAAGGTTCAAAATTAGATCAGTCTCGACTCAAGGAGTCCACGTCAACGTGAGACGGGGAATAAAAGAAACAGAATGGTCTTTATTTCTGTTTCGCGACATACTGGGATGAAGTTAGGAGCGTTTGGACTACCGGGAGAGACGCAGTGCATCTTTTGTTGCAACGAAGCAAACGTCCTGGGAGTAAGATGTCAACTATTCGACCCGGCTAGTATTCAAAGTTAGAAGACGTACACGCTACTGGCTGCGAGAAGCATCCCAACCAGCGAAATAAGCTGCATTTTGCCGGAATAGAGGGGGAATCAAAAATTACGCAGGCACCCAGTTATTAGTAGGAAGATTGATGAAGGTGATATAAAGCCGTCTTAGCTATTCAAACGATTGCGCGGATCCAACAGTAAATGAATGAAGGGGAGGGTAGATAATTCACCGGGGTCTATAAGGATAATTTCTCCCACCACTAGCCACATCCATTGACATCAATTCAGAGTTCGGGATAGGATATTATCACTCATACAATCAGCCACGATGGGTAACGGGAGGTGGAGAAGATGTGATTTGCCAAGTAATACTTAATCTACCTAGATCCTGCTATACTAAATTTGCCATGATGAATTTAAAGTTAGCATCTTGGATTCTCCAGCGCAAGTAGAGCTTCTTGTAAGGTTAATAGGGGCTCACAGCCTTCAGCGTGCTGCACCTGGGCTAGAAAAGATTCAAAATACCATGTAGTTGTGTGTTTGATTACAATCTTCGGCCGAGAGGAAGGTTGTGCTTGAGCCATTTTCTGGGAATCTCATTCTCTCCAACAATTAACCAAGGTCCGGTCTCTCGTAGAATTATGACAGCATAGATAACAATTAGGTTGCTGCGAACCCTTTCTTTGGGGAAATTAGTATGGAAGAATTGCAGCTAGTTCTAAAGCTTAAGGCTCTATCCTATAACAATTGCCTCTGGACAGTGGGTCGGGCAGGGAATGGATCTAGGCACGAGCCCACCTCTAGCGTGTTTTATTTGATGTGTTGCATCTCCCGTTGCCAATGTGAGGCTAGAGAAGCTAGCACCGTTCAATTCGCTCCCGCAAAATACCTCTGGGACTCGTCAAGGCTCATGTTAGATGTCAGTCTAACTCTCATCCGAATACTCGCATTCGCACGAACTTGATCACGTGATCCTGCACAGTGGAGGACCAAGGCCGGAAATTTGGCTGTTTATGAGTTTAAGTGTAGATCGGGGCTAATTTAGTCCTGCGTAGTCCAATCTCTGAGGCGAGGTTTTCACCATCCATCTCCTCACACAACGCAGATATTTAGAGCACTCCCCGGCAGATCCGCTAATAACCTCGTCTCATGCGTCATCCATGATGTGGAGCATGCAATGAAGAGGCAGAAGAAAGCAGTCCTTGTCACTCTGGACGTACAGGGTGCATTCGACGCTGTACTACACGGAAGGCTGCTACAGAGGATGAACAAAGTTGGGTGGCCGAAATCAGCCATTACTTGGGTAAAGTCTTTCCTGAAAGAACGATCTACCCGCGTCAGACACGAGGACGGAATAACAGACCCAATTCACCTAGAATGCGGGCTGCCCCGAGGATCGCCTTTATCCCCAATTCTCTTCCTCCTCTACATGGCAGAAGTCGTGGGTGGCAGCAGTTGGAGATTTGGCTATGCAGACGATGTTGCTATCCTCGGCATAGGTTCGACTCTAAACGAAGCCGCAGCAGCTGTCCAGAGAGAGGCTGATGCAGTCTATTTCCTCGGCCCTAGATCCAGGGGATACGACCTTCCGGCTATAAGGGTAGGTACTAGCGATGTACAAGCATCCGACGATATCCGATGGCTCGGAATACACCTTGATCGCGGTCTAACCTTCGAAAGCCACGTCGCAAAGTGGACCAGTAAGGCAATGCGGCCAGTGCAACACTTCCGACGGCTCACTCAGTGCACCCAGGGACCAAGACCCGACTTACTAACCACAGTGATCCGTACGGTAGCTCTACTAGTCGCGTTGCACGCAGAGGAATCGTGGTACCCGGGGCCAACCAGGGAAACATATCGGGGTGTCACGCGCAACTCTTGTAAGAGACAATGCAAAGTTATTGACCAAACTTCTGCCTTAGGAATTCGCGTGGCTCTACCAACCTGGCGCACCATGCCAATCGCAGCCCTGAAAATGGAGACTGGCATTCCACCTGCACATATTCTGCGCGAGGAACGCAGGCTCAAGACTGCCGCACGAATCCGGAGACTGGATGATTATCTGTTGTGGTTATGAGCTGTGAGGTATATAGCATTATGTCTCTGCTGTCCGTCGGTGGAATTACACGGGCTCATGTGCTATGGTGAGTCGCGGAGATGGCGCGCTCACGCTGGGTGATGGCACGATGGACACTGAGTGCGTATCACTGTGGCCAAATGGGTGTCAGTAGGTATCAAATGTGAACTCTTACTGACGATGGTGATCTATGAAGGTGATGCTAGATGTGCATCCCGACGATTGATAATATCATCTAATGGATGATGTGAAGTATGATATTATATGGATAGATTGATTCACTAAACTCGGCAAGTGAAGAGATTGTAGAGTACATGAACAGTGTCTGTGCACCAGCCTGTATTTTCCACCCTTTCCTAATCCAGCAGCCCATCCTCCGTTCCCCTGTCTCCTAACAACTCAACCGAGCCAGCACAACATTATCACCCGCTCCGACTTCAGGCCATGGAAAGCACTGACAGCGCTCGTCACCGACTAGGACTAAAGATATGCAACAAAACTAGACTTGGTCTGGATCGAGTTCATGATTCGAGGGTGCAGAGGATGTACCGACTTTTGCCAGAAGCTTAACTACCTCCTCCGCTTCGACCTCCAGTACCCCCTCTGCTAATTTCCTGCTGGACAAGCAAGAAGGAGGCTGCCAAGTTCATAAGAGAGTGGCTACCGACACTCCCACCCGACTGTCTCTGCGTTTACAGTGATGGTTCTGGGGCTTCAACCGACAGAGTGTCATGGGCCTTTGTGACTTTTATCAGCGGCACAGGCACGGCAATCGAGCAAAGCGGCTCAGGTAAATTTACCAACGCGGAGGCTCATGGAGCTTTGGCTGCTCTAGAAGCAATCACTGCCAGCAATCGAGATCGAGGACGCAACGCTATCTACATCCTGCTCGACAATTCTGCGGCTGTTAAGGCTTTACTGACGGGAACAACGGGCTCATCATCCTGGCGTATCCAAAAGTTCGTGAAACTGGCCGCGGGATCAGCCGCGCCTGTAAAAATAGGATGGATCCCAGACCACGAAGGGCTAGCAGTAAATGAAATCGCCGATGAACTCGCTCGAAGAGAGCTTAACTCGCCGGACAACTCTAGCACGACACATGGTGTGATGACCCTCGCCTCATCTGGACGGAAAGCCCGTGAACTGGCCAGGCAGATGTTGACAGACTGGTGGCACTCGAATCGCCCCAAACATTACGCCGACCTTGAACTCGAGATGCGGCGCAAGAAACCGCCAGAACTAGCGCTACCTAGAGCGGTCTACGCCCGCTTAATCGCTGCTCGAACTGGACATGGGGACTTTGCGGCATATCATCGCCGCTTCAACCACACTGACGCTACACTTATATGCGAGTGTGGGAGGGAAAAATCAATTGGTCACCTTGTCCAGTGTCGAAAAGCACTGGAAACTTGGCGGCTAAAAAGCGGAAAGCGAAGGGCACCAGCTCTGGAAACGATGCTCGGATCAAGGGGATGGCAGCTGTTCAGGGACTACGTCCAGGAGAGTGGAATATACGCGGAGGCTAGTCGGGGGATGGCAGATATACCTGTGACTCGGAGGTGACAGAACGGAAGCCCAGGTGGTTTGGCATAGACAGAGGGATAGGAATCGAGGCTCAGGCGCGTGGTGGCTGAGGCGGAACAATGGAAGGGAGATTGTTTAAGTTTTTCTTTTGTAATGCGGGATTTCGCGTGAAAGTTTTTGTTTTGTTTTCAATTCTGGGCTGCTGAATTTGTCAGGGTTCAACACATAGATGCATTTTGGCATGGTTCCGGTCATTTAGGTGAGACGAGGCATTTGTACTACACGGTAGTTAACCTGATCCGGCCCGACCTCACTCGTGCTCAAGCTCCAGTAGGAGTGCCACCGTAGTTACTTCACCTAGCACGTTAATGAGCAAAAAAATGCACATTTTTAAGAAATTGATGAAAGTTTGCCTTATCCACCTATCTCACCCTTTGAATCCATATCTCATATATTATCACATCAATTCCTCGTGGTACCGCGCCATTCAGCCTTAAAATGGCACCGGTACCCCCAAAATCCGTGAAAACCACGAAAATTGTGTTAACCACAAAAGTAGGTAAACATAACTACCAGACTCATCCGGATGCTCAAAAGAGCATGCTTGAATTACTTAGAAGCGTGGCATCTCAGAAAATGAGCGCTAAGGGACTGAGAACGAGCGGCGCCGACCTCGATTTGATGGAGGTCGACATTGTCGCCCAGATGAAGGAACGCGGCCAGCCTGACATTGAGATGTCGAATGCCGCATCAATAATCGAAGAGATTATACATGAGGGTCTTGAGCACTCGCGATGGGCATACGCGGGAGCCGAGAGCTCCCAGAACTCGTCGTCGAGAAAGCAGTCTCAGCGACAACGAACGAATCCACACCCATTGCGGCTCGAAAAATCGTGGTTCCGACAGCGAAGCGGACATTAAATAAAATCACACCGAGGGGAACGGAAGTCCCGACTCACACAATGGCAGCAAATGCCTCCATACCTCCGCCACCCCCGGCCACGATTCCAGGGATGGCTGACCGCCACAATCACTCTGCTGGTGATGCTCCCACTTGCACGACAATACAACATCCGCTTGAAATTGAAGCTCTGCTTGAAGCCGAAAGGAGGCGGGCTGCAATCACCTCAGCCAAGCTCGAAATAGGATCGACGGTGTTGAACACTCTCGAAAGTGTTATCCTATCATTGAAAACAACAGATAACAAGGAATACTTGGACGCCATGAACGTCTATCTAAGGGGCGCCCTCGCCCAATTCCTACGCACTGGAACCACACCAGAACCGACAAGTCTTCCTCCCCGCCCCACTGGCCAGCAGGCCGACACCAGCGGGACATTTCCATCATCAGCCGCCAGTCCAGCAAGGCCTGCCGTAGCGGTGCCCCAGATAACGCCAACCTTGGCAACTGTAGCTCGAAATGAGCTACCTCATCAGCCGACGCCAGTAATGGTTAGTCGTGCCCCAAAAATGCCGACTCC